CAGTTGGAAGTATAATTTTGTGGTCTACTTAAGAGAATGTGATGTAACTCTTCTTAACCAGCATTCAGATAACACATTTGTAAGGACCTATCATTCTTGATAAATCTGTAAATTATAGGACCTAAAAACCTATTGCAGAGCAACTTTGCCCTAGGGATTAAATGTTCTTAATCTCAGGTTTGTGAACCTCTTGGAGAGGAGTGTAAATATCCAGAATTGTGTTCAAATGTAAGTTTTTAGCCATATATGTATTTTCTTCATAGGAGGTAGGTAACTGTGCTTTAATCACAGTTTTAGTAGCATCTAAAATACCTTTCCTTTGTTTTTCTTCCCTTTTCTCTCTGTTCTTCTTTCTTCTCTCTATATATAGACACACACTGTATATATACTACATCTTCTTAATCCAGTCATATGTTGACAGGCACACTTGGGTTGCTTCTGTGTCTTGGCTATTGTAAATAGTGCTGCTATGAACATTGGGCTGCATGTATCTTTTCGGATAAGTGTTTTCATTTTTTCCAGGTATATACCCAGTAGTGGAATTGCTGGATTATATGGTAGTTCTATGTTTAGTTTTTTGAGGAACCTCCATACTGTGTTCCATCGTGGCTGCACCAGTTTACATCCCTACCAACAGTATACAAGGGTTCCCTTTTCTCCACATCCTCTTCGACTTTTTAGATAAATTACTGGGAACAAGTGCCTTTCAGCTATTTTAAAGAAGACGAAGAATGAAATGCTGAGTTTTTGACAATAAGAGTACATTGTCATTTTACATAGCTGTTGTCTCAGAGACTAATAGATTGCAAACATGATACCCAGAGAGAGTAAAAAATCCTACAGATTCTTAAATTTTAATTCCATGATGGCAAATACTATTTTTATTTATTTTCCACATTTCCTAGAATGGGCATCTATTGTCCACATGATCAGGAAAAAACATTTGTTGTTATTTTAAGTAGGAGACTATGATTTCGTTCCTTGCTCTTAAGTCATTTTTATCTAAGTAGGGGATTATAATTACAGATTTTAATAATGCTACAAAGCAGAGTATAACAAAGTTTATAAGAGCTGCCACTAATGTCTTTGGGAGTGGTTGCATGTTTTTAGACAAGAGTTACTGTTTTTATTTGGGGAAAGAAGACATTTGAAGGCAAGGAGGTTATGAGATTAAAAGCACAGGTGAAAAGTTTAACCTTGGCAGGAAGGAAGGTCTTTCAAAAACAAAAAAACCCCACATTAAACAACTTGAAAATTTTTGTGTTAAGTATTCTAGTCTTAGAGCTTAAAGTTGAAAGCTGAGTTACTAAATTCTAAACTAATGAAGGCTGTGGTATAGGGAGTACAAATTTATTTACATAAGCTTCTAGAATACCTTAAAGTTTAAAGGATCGACTTGAATAGTTAAGGGAAGCAGTTATATATTTGGTATGGTTGAAAACACGAGTTTCAAAAAACAGTTTATATAAATTATTGGCCAGCTTTAAAACCTCTTTTGTTGTATTAAGGTGAACAACGAATCAGGCAACCTTATTCTTCCAGTAAGGAAATCTTTATTTTATTCAATTTTCCTAAAAGGGCAACACATCTCTTCTAGGTGGTACTTTCATAAAACAGAAAAAGAGAAATTGGAGTGGTGAGGAGAATTACGTTAGGGATACTTTTGTTTAAAACATATTCCTGCACTGTTAAAAGTAACATTCTAAAATTTCTACAGTATTTTGAGTAAAGCCAAGATATAGTTAAAATGTAAGTTTTTAATTTATTTAAATTACTTTTAATTTATAAATATTAATTATAAAATAATTTTTGGAGAAACTGAAAAATGAAGGGAAAATATTCTAATATCACCATCATAAAATAACTTTTAAAATTACTAGGGTTTTCGTGTATTTTCTAATACTCTTGCTTAAGCACAGTTTTATATTTTAAAAATACAAAATATGCCTAAGATGCATTATACAAATTGTAAGTGAGAATTAGTAATATTCAAAGATGATAAAATAAGAGTCCATATGCTCTGAAGAGGAAAACTGCTGCTGCACTCTGAAGTTAAAATATACACTGAGCTTCTAAATGGGGTTATTTTACTCCTTGGGTCTCCCCAGTCTTATAGAATCTAGTATAAAATTCTTAAATTTTCTAATTTACTACATAATTAGGTGAGAAGGAAGAGTCAGGATCCTAGAGTAAAATAAACACTTAAATAATTATGGGGAACTTGAATTTTAGTTTTGACCAAAGTTCTACCTTAATGACTTTGTAACTTCACTGAACTTCCAATGTGCTGAGCTTTACATGCATGAGTTCAATTCACACATATTTAATCTGAGCCTAATATGTCTAAGTTATGTGCCATGTTTCTGGTATATACTTAGACTTAAACTCTTAATAAACCAAATAACCTTCATTTACTATTACTTCTATCCCTCCAAGATGGTTTCCACTGTAATCTTCTCCAGCTTCTTGGGATGCATGTCATGTTTATTTATAGTAGAGGTACTTGTTCCAGCTCCTCCCAGAAGGAGGATTCCAATTTGATACCTACCTCAGCCCAGTTTTTATGCACCCATAACTCCTCTGGTCAGTTCTCTGAACTGAAGATTAGTAAGAATTGGCCCCAGGCAAGAATCAGAGCCTCTAAACAACTGAATAATAAAAAGCTTAGACAGAATAGTCGTCTGTAAATCTAAAGACTTTGAGAATTTCTATACAAAGAATTACTTTGACCCTAGTAATAGAGGATTTTGTTTGACCTTGTAAATTTTATTTTTTCCCAGCTCCTCCCTGGCTTTGAATTACCAGTATGACAACTACTTCAATTTTAAATTCTTTGTTGTAGTAATAATTAACTTATAATAACACTTATATAGTGTTTATGTGTCAGGCATTGTTTACGTTTATTAAAGGTAGGTATTGTAACTTTCTCAAGGACATGTAGGTACATTGCTGAGCTAGGATCCAACCTAATAAAGTTTGACTTTAGACTCCTTACCAGCAACACAGTGCAGCTTTAAAAGTATACAACTCTCTGGCAGAAGACTTGTGTCGAGACTATATGAAGAACTTCTAAAAATCAATAATAAAAGACAGCACAATAAAAAATAAAAGACTGGGACTTCCCTGGCGGTACAGTGGTTAAGACTCTGCACTTCCATTGCAGGGAGCATGGGTTTGATCCCTGGTTGGGGAACTAAGATCCCGTGTGCCACATGGTATGGCAGAGAAAAAAAGAAAAAAAAGACTTAAAAAGAAGGCATATAAATGTGACCAATCAGCATAGGAAAAAAATGCACAACATCATGCATCCATCATGGAAAATGGATATAAAAATCGCAATGGGTTACCACTTATATACTTACTACAATGAGTAAAGTTTAAAAAACTGAAAGCAACAAGTGTTGGCACAAATGAGGAGCAACTGAAACTATCATACATTGTTGATGGGAATGTATAATGGTCCAATCACTTTGGAAAACAGTTTGTTAGTTTCTTATATAGTTAAACCTACTACCCTATGACTCATCAATTCCATTCCTAGGTAATTATTAAAGAGAAATGAAAACATACGTCTACAAAAGACTTATACAAGAATGTTTATAACAGCTTTATTCATAATAGCCAACAGCTAGGAACATTTCAAATGCCCATCAACATAAGAAAGAATAAATGAATTGTGATATATTTATTCAGTGAGAGGACTCTACTTAGTGGTAAAAAAGAATGAAGTACTAATACAACAGCGTAATGAGTGAAAGAAGTGAGACAAAAAGGGTACAAATTGTGATTCTATTTGATTCCATCTATGTGAAGGCCCATAACAGGCAAAACTAATGTATATATTAGAAACCGGGGATAGCAGTGTTACCTAGGTTACCTGTTTGATGGGAGGGAGGCTTCAGGGAATTTTCTGGAGTTCTGTATCTTGATTATCATGTTGGCTGTACAGATGTGTAATTTGTCAGAATTTGTTGAACTTTATATTTAATATCAATATGCCTTATTATGTGTAGAGTAAAGTAGAAAAAAAGCAAGGGGCAGATCTCACACAAGCACTCTGACAACAGAAATGACAACTGGCAACCTAACACTTAGAACGTGCAGAGACACTAAGTAGCACATAATTGTTACATTGAACCTCAGTTGATAGTAGTAATAACCAAGACATGTTTAAGTTATATTCAGTGTAATTTTCTAAGAAGTCAGCAAGGTATACCACTTTTAGAAAGGATTTCATTAATAATTATTATATTAAAAGTTTTACAACTAAAATGCTGAGATGTCAGTTATCTAGAACATTAGTATATGAAACATTACTTAGATTTTATGTAAAAAATTATTGTGGCTAATACTGGGAAATGATTCTAAATAGAATATGGTCTCTCTTAAGAATAGTCTGCCAAAAAGAGGGCATGAAAGACCAGTTTATTTGATAACTTACTAAAATAAAACATGTTTATATATATTTGTGATTTAGATTCCCAGGTGTTAGAAATAATCAAAAATGTGTCTGAGCTAATAAGCATGTTTGTTTCAGCATTTTACTTATATTTCAAAAATGTTAGAAACATACAGATGTCACAATTAAATGTGCTAAGATACAGCAGTAATTTGTCCTGATTATATTGTAGGAGGTGGACATATATTAGATAACTGTGATGGCAGACTGTAGTTTGACCGTATTTGTCTCTGGGATCCTTTGTTACATGTTCCATGGCAATCAGATGTGCTTGAACTACTCAAATGATGAATTGAAATAAGAGATCTGTAGTCTTTTATTGTGAGATTGGTCTTCAAAATAAGTTAGCCTTTAAGTCAGTTACTCTGTGGTTTTTGATCTTTTTCAATTAGGTTACTGTCTGTGGACTGTCATGGAAGTAGTGAACACTTTAGTTACTACACGTTAATTGATGTGGTCTTTGGTTTCTCAAGCAAGACTGACACCTTGGCTGTTTTTTGTTTATGGAAAAGCTAACTTCTAATCTTTGCATCTATTTTAGTAATAGTTATGCACGAGTGCGAGCTGTGGTGATGACCCGGGATGACTCAAGTGGTGGATGGTTACCACTTGGAGGGAGTGGACTAAGCTGCGTCACTGTCTTCAAAGTCCCTCACCAGGAAGAGAATGGCTGTGCTGACTTTTTTATCCGTGGAGAGCGACTCAGGGACAAAATGGTAATAATGCATCTATTGCTATAATTTTAAAATTCTATAGAATGAATTTTCTGTTTAAAATTATGATTAGTATACTATTATTTATGAAAATTATTTTTGTCCAGGATCAATGATTGTTTCTGTAGCTCTTTTAAAGTTCAAGACAGCAAAATATGCCTGTTTCTTTGCAGCTGGGACTGACGTTAATGTGCATGTGTTAGAGGGGAGCTGCTTTTCTGTTAGGTTTAATGCAAGAACATTCATGAATAGTCCCCCTAGTTATTAACCCAGGTGCACCATCTTCCCCTTCTCCCCACTGTTGCCTAGACTGGAGGTTGGCACTATAGTCCACAGGCCACATCCAGGCTTGTCATGTGTGTTTGTACAGCCCATGAGTTAAGAATGGTTTTTACATTTTTAAATGACTGGAAAAAATCAAAGAGTAATAATTTTATGAACATGAAAATTATATGAAATTGAAATTTCTATGTCCATAAGTAAAGTTTTATTGGAACATAGCCAAGCTGATCTGTTTACATTTTGTCTCTGGCTGCTTTCACACTGCAATGACAGAGTTGAGTAGTTGCAACAGAGACTGTAAATATCTGGCCCCTTATAGAAACATTTTGCTGGCCCCTATCCTAGACTCTTGTGTTCTCAGATTGTTTCTCTTCATCCCCTATCAATCTAGGCTCATCATATGACTACCTGGTGGCCATCCTAGGTTTTAACTCTACTATCTTCCACCCAGACAAGTATTTTCTTACATTCGTATATTTAAAAATTTGAATCTAACCTTTGATAATGTTAGATGTCTACTCTCTCTTAATTAGTGTAGAAAGCTCTTTCTCTTTTATTTCATTTGTGAGCCAAAAAAAAATCATATCTAAAAAGCTGAGTAATGTTAATGTCATTTCTGCATTAAGCAGAGAGCATACAACTTGAAGTAAAAAGAGAATAAAGTGCCCAAAATTTCCAAGACTCTTGAACATAACTGTTATTCCCTTTAACTATGTATCTGTGGATTAGTTTGTGAGCTCATTCAGCATCTGTAGTATTATTTCTATTGAAAATGTGTTTTAAGTGTTGAATAATTCTTTTATACATGAACATTTTATACTACTTTTAATTTTGGTTCTTGGTTTCTGGATATTTTTTACTATTGAATTATTTCCGTAATTTTAAAAGTTGCCTAACTTGTCTGTGCTCCAGTTTCTGTCTCAGTTAACTGGAGAATTTTCCTAAATCGTCTTGAAAGCCTTCTAACTCTAATTTTTTGTGAGTTTAGGATTTACTACTGTGTATCTCAATTAACCAGAATGTGGTTTTAGGACTAGGATACCCCATTTGAAGTCAGAAGTATATATGATAAATTTAACATGTCATCTCTAAAAGTTTAAATATTTAAATGTGGTTCTGGCCTTGGATAACATGGTGGCTCGCATATACTGATGCTTATTTAAAATATGGCTTGTAGACTTCCAAGAGAGAGCCTATGGTGACCCGTCCTGGTGTGTAGTGCTTTTTGTCTGAGCTGTTGATAATTGGGGAGTGTTGGAGAAGAAGTTGTAGATTTTAGAAACTGAGTAAAATAGTGACAATCTAAGGCATTTTTTAATAGTAAAGATGGAAAAAGAGAAGAAAGAAGTCAAAGGTGGAGAAAGGGAGAAAAAAAAGCTTGCTAGAAAAAGCATAAGAACAAGGAAAAGATGACCTAGATGTGAAAAAGAGGGAAAAAAAATATCAGAGTGAAACAGAACACAGTCGACCCTACGTATCCATGGGTTTCACATCTCTGGATTCAACCAACCACAGACGGAAAATATTTGGAAAAGAAATTACAGAAAGTTCCAAAAAGCAAAACCTGAATTCTCCTTGTGCTGCCAACTATTTACATAGCATTTACTTTGTATTAGGTATTATAAATAATTTAGAGATGACTTAAAGTATGTGGGAGGGAGGATGTGTGGGTTACATGCAAATACTATGCCATTTTATATAAGGACTTGAGCATCTGCAGATTTTAGTATCAGTGGGGGCTGGGGGGCGGGTCCTGGAACCAATCCCCTGTGGATACCAAGGGACTACTCTATTGGCTATATTGATGAGCATGGACAGTTTACTTGAGGAAAATTAAATAAGGAACCAAATCTGCATCACTAGGAGTGAGGCTGGTCAGAGATAAGCTCAGATTAATGTTTTAGGTGGTTGCTCAGAGAGTGGCTTTGACATAAGCTTAGAGAGAGTAAGCCTGGGATTTGGACATAATACAAACTTATTTCCTAGTGTGGGACATAAAAAAGAGCCCTTAACTTAATCCTAAAGGTGTAGAATCATAATAGACTAACAAGAAAATAGGTTCTTTTGATAGAAGCACTGACCTAGGAATCAAAACGGTTTTTTCACTTAACCATTTCTCCTTGAGGAAGCTTGTTATTTGTGAAACAGGAATGATAAATATATCTCAGTGTAGACATAAAGGAAACATTACTTTCAATTGGAGGATTGTCTTAATTCTTGTAGGGAATAGTTATAATAAAGCATTTTAGGTTATGGGGAATTGTATGATCAAAGGCAGAGGCAATAATGCATGGCCATAAATTGAAAATAGCAGTCTTGTGAAGTCTCAAGACAAATGGGACAGTGACATTGAAATAAGCAGATTAAGTGGCCCCTTCTGCTGCATAATACACTTCTAAGATACTTCTGAAGCAATTACAGAATTGAAGTATTATTCTTTTACATTATCACTGCATTTGGGGGTCATTAATGTCCATTTCTATAGATATTTTTATTGATTGGCTTTATTTTAATCTATTTTTCTGGGTTCTAGTAATATAAAAAAGGTGTACACTGTGACTGTTGAATCTATAATACAAAGTTAATGATAGTTTTCTTTAATATCCTTCTTGATGAGTAAACTGAACTTTAATATTGTTCCTATTTAATAGTTAATCATGTAAAAGATAGTGCTACAAACTGTGTTCTCTACCCATTTTGTCTGGGGGTCACATCTTAGAGTCCTCTACCTTGGATGAATTCTAGAAATGAAGTGAGATACCTACCCCTCATACCTCAGGAAAAAACTTGTGTCCTTTAAGAATAGATAATTAGTAAATGAGGTACCTATAGCCACTTGTGTAGCTAATAAAGAAATACTAGATAATTTTTTTTTTTTTTTTTTTTTTTTTTTTTGGCGGTCCGCGGGCCTCTCACTGTTGTGGCCTCTCCCGCTGCGGAGCACAGGCTCCGGACGCACAGGCCCAGCGGCCACGGCTCACGGGCCCAGCCACTCCGCGGCACGTGGGATCCTCCCGAACTGGGCCACGAACCCGTGTCCCCTGCATCGGCAGGCGGACCCTCAACCACTGCGCCACCAGGGAAGCCCTAGATAATATTTTAAAGAGGGCTTATAATAGTCAAAATACTAGTTACAGTAGTGAAGATGAAAGATGGCTTTTCTGAAGAGTGAACGAAGCATTTAGTAGAAGATTTTTCCAGTCTTAGATTTACAAGTACTCGTACTAAAAATGTCTTGTTACACTTCCCAGAGGGTTATATTTCACTCCTTTTTTCTTTTTTCTTTTTTTTTTCTTTTTTTTTTTTGATAAGAAAGGGAGCACAAATCAAGAGCAGGCTGATGAGGATTTTTCAAGAAGGTGGTATTTTGTATAATTTGCTCAGTATTCATTCATTCATTCATTCAGAGTGACCTGAAATTGTTTCCTATGATGCTTACCTATAACTTGCTTGTTTCTGTGATACTTACAAAGGTAGAGTTTATTTCCCAAGTTGCTAATCTAAATTAGAGCTTCCCAAGCTGTGTGCCATGAATAGGTAAAAGTGGCTGGAGCCTCCAAGTCTCTTTGCCTCTTAACCACTAGGCTCCTTCTCTTTTCTGGTTGCCTTATAATTGTTATTTTTCTGAGTATGCCTGAGAAATAAGTTGGAAAGCACTGCTTTATGTAACTGGCTTTCATACTTTATTGATAATTCAGGAGAAATTGAAAAAACACCAGGCTTTGGTGTTGTAGCCCAAGATAATGAAAGTACTTTCTCCCAGATACTTAGGGATGTATGGAATGGTCTTTGACAAGGATAGCTTCTCAGAACCCCTTTTCTTGATAACGTATGAGTTGTATCCTCCATTTCCTTCTAAATCTTTATAGCTTTGATTTCTCCCTTTAATTCTTTAATATAAATTAGTGTTATCTTGGATCACATTTTTTTAAATGCTAACTAAAACTTAACTGTTAATTTGTATAGATAATCTTTACTATAGAGCTTCAGATCCCCATGATAGAAACTTTCTCTTTTGCATTCATTTTTCTGTAGTGGCTCTTCTCTATTGGTGTGACATTGCTATTTTATAGGCAAACATTTTATCAGCTTACCATATGTATATGTTAAATTATTCGATCATTTTTAGTTGAATTGTATGTGATAGGAAAATCTAAAATACTGAACTATAATACACTTTTAAAGTCTTTATAAGTACCTGAATAAACTTTCAATAATGATATTAAATTTTTGCTAAAATATTTACTACTAAACAAAGTTTTTAATAACTGTGGGGATCTAAATTAGCCATTCTTAAGCTTTTATTGTAGGACAATAAAATACTGTAAATTTACCAATTAATGTTATTGCGCTTTTTAAAGCATATTGTGTGCTAAGAGATGACAAAAATCGAGTGGGCTACATAGAAGGATACAGTAAGACTTACAACCACAACCTCTGTACTTAAGATGTTCTGTGGAAAATAGAAAAAGGCACTGTTCAATGTCAAAGCAAACTTATAGCTATCATTATAAACTTAGAGTTTATAATAAGTATAATAATTGAAATGAAGAAAGGAAAAAGCAGGAGATATCAAGTTTAGGAAGTTGCCAAAGAGATTAAGGAATTGTTTTGGATTAATAAGTAATTAGGTTGTGGATAAAAGTGGTTTATAAAAATTAAAATGCCTATGAGATAATAGTTCTATTGTTTAAAAAGATACATTTCTAAAATGGAGTTTC